TGCATACCACTGGATAAACATAAAAATATAGAAGGTATTGTTGTTTTTGTTTAGGAATAAAAATACATTACTTTGTTTGAAACTATTACAAAAACGCAGAGTAGTCAAAGCAGAAGATGCGTGAACACAAAGGGATTGTCCCTTGGAGCAATTACTATCAAAACTCTACTAACTACCAAACTAGTCAGGCTGCAAGGTCTCCTCTTGTATGTAATCTTTTTATGTATGTACTAAGTATAAGCAGTTTCTTACCAAACATTCTCTGTGCTCTACCACAATTTGGAAAAGTAGTTAAACATGACTACTGAACCCATGAATGCACCAGGGAGTAATAGAGACATGTACTATACATCACAGACTCTATTTTCAACACTGTTCATCAAAAAAGCAAAAGGAATTTGCCAGGATAACATGCAAGGCTTTTGACTTCCTTACACAATGTGCCCACTTATTATCACCCAACGCAGCATGATTTCCATTACAATGCTTAACTGAAAACGTGTTGCATGAGTTTCACAGTGTCCTCCCAATGGTATCTCTTATTAAGTCTGCACTTTTGACTTTGAAATGTCATTTCAGTAAACCATAAGCATAATTATCTTACTTCAAAATTGGACTCAAAATGCCATACGCCAGGGTGGGACAGTGGCACAAATACTGCTGCCTCGTCGCGCTGGATTGAGCCCCTGCAGCAATTTCTGTGTAGAGTTTGTGAGAAACTGGGTGTTCCGGTTTCCTCCCCCAGTCCAAAGACATGCTGGTATGTTAATTGTCTTCAGTGAAAATTGGTCCTGGCACGAGTGTGTGTGTGTCTGTGTGTGCCCTGAGATGGACTAGACTTCCAACCAGAAAAGGCTCTGGCTCCCCTGCGATCCTGAACTGGATAAATTGGTTAGAAAATGGATGGATGTCCTACCCTGTCCCCCTGATTAAATTTCATTACCTGCATATCAATGTCTTATTTTTTCATATCCCACCCTATTTGCGCATATCTCCATAAACGTTCTAGAGTAGCCCAGGGATGCAGAATCTAGCCTGGCTGTCAAGTGTTACATCATTTGCACGTAATTTCAGGAACTGTGGCTAAGTGCCAGAGTGCAGACTCAGTGCTGACATTAACTCCTGATAATTGTGACACGAAAGAAACCACATCTTGGTGAGATGAGTTAACAGACCTTTTCTTGCTTTACTTTTTCAAACCCAACAGAATCAGCTGGATATTGTTGTGAACCAGGTGTTTGTTCTAAACATATGTATTTTATACATTTTTACTGATTTCTCCTTCAAAAACAACTGGTTGGCATGACGTCTCCTTAGGTACTATCAATGACTATCGTTAATACTAAGCCCAATGTTGTGACGTACTTTGCGTGCTGAAAATGAGATACACAAGCCATGACTATACATTCAACACATTTCAAATGCAACAATAAAAGTAGTTTTTGGCCACCAAATCATCAGACACCTAAAGACAAGTTCGGGATATCCTTTCAATCTGTATTAAATCTTAGATTAGCAAAGTTTAAGGGGGATTTGTGTCGCAGCATTAGGCCAAGACAGGACCTGAGAGCCTTCAGAACATTCAGAATGTCCGGCACACCACTGGTCACAGCTGGGAGGACCAGAGCCACTAGGGTAAAGAACCTCACTCACGGTACAACAGCAGTGTCTGCAGCAGGGATTCGAACACACAGTCTGTCAGTTTTGAGGCTAAAGGTTAGGGCACTGCGCTATGCCAGCCTCATCTAAAGATAAGATTCTGCTAAAATTCCCAAAGTAAGTTTGAGGGCAAGAAAATGTTTTGCTTTCTATGCTGTTTTCTCTTCGGTAAGAGGTAGGAGGTACACAGCAGTTGCTATGGCTACAGACGTGCAGTGAGGTCTGGTGGTAGCAATAGTAAACTGACATGAGCATCTACAGTATATTATGTTTCCTGGGGTGGTTTGTAGTGTATGAGCAGTGTGCTCCTAGATCAATAACGCCATCTTCACCACCCTATGCATGAGGAGATTCACAGTGGGTGAACACAGCTCTAGTCCCTGCACAGCTGACAAGAGTCAATGCCCACGCTAAACATTTCAAACTATGCTCACTCAAACAAAAAGGACAGTTACTATATATAGAGTCAGAATCCCCTCAGTGCTTTATTACTGCACTTCAATGTCTTAATTTAGCAGTCCAGGAAATAACCCATCTCTTTTAAGACAGCTGGCATGCCCAGTGTCCACTACACCGAGCTGTTTTTGTCATTTCTTATATTATTAGACTCCACAACGTGTGGAAGGAAACAACAAATAGACATTTCTTCTTAAATATTTTCTCTGGATGTGCCAGGAGCATGCCAGAATTAAATTTACCTGTGTTCTCAAACGATAAAAATTACAATATATAAACACAGGCTTGTCATTAATTTTGCATCTCGTACCTACTGAGCTTTTGAGAATTGCAACTGTAACTGTATAGTTAATACACCACTCTTAAGGGATAGATCAGCAACATGAAAATAAATGACTGCTACCAAGTTGCTATTATTGATGTTGACATTATTTATAATTATGTAGGTCCCGGTACATTTGTGACTTCAAAAATGTAAGCCTGTTTGCTTTATAGGACTAAGCAATAATAAAAATGACTATGAATTTTGCTGTGATGTGCTGTGATGTGTTTGTAATATTTTAGCTAGAATGCAAATATCAATGGCAATATCAACAGCAATGAAAAGAGAAAGGGTCTATACAGGGCCTGTCTGATCTGTGAGAAAAGGCTAAATTACACTGCCAGTGTACAATTGCTACAAGACTATGAAAGTTAACAATGGACCAGAGGCACACAGGATTGTCTCTATGCTTGTAGGCTTGGAGGGACTCAGCCTAGAACAATCACTTAGAGTGGGTGGAAGAGGCTCCATGTCTGCAGAGGCAAGAAGGGGATGTTTTAATAAGCACAAACCCCTCACCTATACATTAACATGAGTCGTGGCGCTGTTTTGTAAAACATCACTCGGTGTTCCTTGTTGCACATGTTCCCAGGACCTGCTCAAGGTCAGCACTGCACTAACATAGGACTACCTAAACCCCCTGGTGTCAAACCTGGACAGCAAATGCAAACTCATCTGCAGCTACTGAAAGCTGCTCTTTTTCTGGAGCGAAGTGAGATACACTAGGCATTCATCTTCACATTCATTCAATTATAACTAACGAGCTACTGTACATGCACCGCATAAATATCGTTTGCCAGTTTCATACACAGTATTCAACTAAATTCTGAAAACAATCTTCAGTAAAGATGAGTCGCTTTGGATCAACATTTTGTGTCATTAATTTTCTAAATGAGTGTAAGTTAATTACAAGCAGTCACAAATTACTGTAGTTTCACAACCCTCAATAACAAGGCATAACCATTAAAGTTAATCACTGCATTTAGCTTGCTCAAGCTATGGAAGTGCTTTACAGTAACAAATGTGGACACGCATGCATTAATAAATACATGTTAAAGCTAACAGACTGTGAAATCTTGAAAGCTTTGCATTTTTTAGTAGCTGTTTTGAATTATTGTCTTATATGGTACAATTCCAAAAGGCAAACTTACACATTCATTACAGAAGAGGAACAAAAACATTCTATTTGTGAAATTTATGTGTTTAGTGTTTAAAGTGCTGACACATCTCATCGGTCATAAATATATTTATTTTAAAAATCGGATGAGCCCAAGGTCAGAATACGATAAATTGTGAATTTTGTTTTTAAATCAATAAAGGTACTATTCTTGAATTTTGTCTAAAAATACATCCTGAGGACAAGAGTCTAAAAGTATTGATATGGCTAGACCATCACATCTAATGTACAGGGCTAGGAGCAGACAGAATAAAAAGGTCTGTGCTCATGGATAATATGATGTTCTCTGATCCAGATAGTAAGATCTTGTCAGACCCTATGGAGAAACCATAAAGGGCAGTCTACTGTTGCTCTTCACAAGAGACTCCATATTTCAGAGCTCATGGTAAGCTGAGCAGAAAACTTTACCAAGAAGGACTGATTGGGCTGCTTTATACTGAACTGGAGAAGCCCAAGTAAACTACCTCAATCAAGTTACAACAGATGTGTCTGCAGCAGACTTACTATAGACGCACAGTCTGTCAGTTACGTTTTGCTACTGTCAACATAAAATGAAATTCCACTGAAATTCAAAAACTAAAAAGTTTGAGTGCAAAAATACGTTTTTTTCTTTCTGTGCTACATCCTTTTTTATGTCTGTCTTGCTAGACTTGCTCTCTATACATTTCCACAGTTACAACACCTTCGGAAGTAAATATTGTTCATGACAAGAATGTTCTAAATATCACCCTATAACATTAAACTGCTATAACAGAAGCTTATGTGCTGTATAATCCCAGTGCAATCTCGCTTCACCTCCTGTCTTTTTTTAAAGTACATCTGGAGATTCACTCCTGCTCTTTTAACCTTAGTGACACAGACTTGCTTCCTGTGGTAAATGTTTGACAAGTTATCATTTCTTGAATAGTGAGAGATCACAGAAACTAATTCTCTAAGGTGAAACAACAACAGTGACTCTGAAAGAAACACATAATAAGATCTGTCAGTAGTCAGAAGTTAGAAATAAAGCATGAATAATACAGTATAAAGCACAGAATTATGTGTTTTTTCTGAACATCAACATAAAAACAGCTGAGATCCTTGAATAAATCATATTAAACTGAATAAAGGCAGATATTCAGAATATTCACAAGTCAATGCAAAAGTTATTATTTTTTGCCTTCTACTATGTGGCTATGTGCTTCCAACCTCCCAGTAGAGAACGACATTCACACTGTTTTCTACACTGTACAAGGTGAGTATAGACTGCTGGGTAAAGAGAGTCATATAAACATTACCAGTCTGCACAGTCCCACTCTAACTTCTTACAGCTGCTTCCTTTTAATCCTTCACGCCTTTATCATTCTAGCCCGAATGGTCAAGTAATTTATCTTAGTGGCAGCCTACCGTGAAGCTGTTGTTGACATTTTTTGTGCTTGATTCAGCAACACTGGCATCTGACAGATCGACTTCGTCAAAAATGAGAGACTGCAAATGAGAAAAAAAAGCACGTGGGGGGTAAGCAAACACAGGCAGAACTACTGTAGCATTTCGGCAGAGTACTTACGTTTGGCTGGTACTTCCACATTGCTGATCAGGGAATTGGGAAAGGGTTCAAAAGGAAAAGGCCAGATAATCCTTGTCGCGCATTTGCTCACTTTTGAAGTCATACATTGACTGCCGAGCCAACGAGAAAAGAGGCCCAATACAGTACTGCACAACAGACAGGACACAGCTTCTTCAAGCTTAACATTGTATTCCTTGCAAGAGTTACATACATTAAGAATTTGTAATGTTATTAAGCTACAGTATGTTAGTTACGTACACAATGAAGAGAACTGAAAAGGCAGATTCCATACTGAGGCAGCAATTGCAGCTACAGTATAATACAGATAACAACTACAAACAGAATTAGTACAGAACTCAAATTCTTTCCTGTAACATTCAATATAAAGAGCCAGTGCCTTTCTGATTTTGTTTTAATGAAAAAAAATGCTATGGTTTCTATTACCTTCTCTCCTTGTAGGCTACACCTAGGGAGATCTATAAAATACACTTCACATACCTCTGTTTCCAGTGAGCTGTCGCTTGGCACCTTGCTCATTTAATATTTACTTTTTGGAAAATAGTGAGCACTGATAAATACTTATTTTAGCCCAATGTAAACATGCTGAAAGCTGTTTCTGGCATACACTGAGATACTTTTTAAAACACTGCTTAATTAAAAGATGTTAATGCATTACTACAATAATCGTGTTTCACTTGTTTTGCTTCCTGAAACAGGATTTGCTGTGTGTTGAGGTATTGTCACTAAATAATGCAACTTTGGGACTTCTTAAAAAACAATGACACAAATGTAACTAGTAAATTTCCAGATGTTTGCCGTTCCTCATTATCTATTCCCAGGCCCCTATGGCTTTCTTTAGCTAATTTCAGCTCCATAAGAATGATTAATTAACACTGATTTGTGCACTGGTTAATGTGTTGTGTTTCTAGTGTTAAATATTGTGTTTATGTATAACAGATGAGTTTTTAACCATTTTAATGCGCCTAAAATAATTTAAAATCAGGGGCACATTAATTTTGTTTTGTTTCCTCGCTGAAGAAAGGATACTATCTGCAGTCATAGAAAGAGGTCAGAGAAAAGGAACTTCACAAAACATGAGTACATTACATTTGTACTGCTAGGAGTGGTGTCATGTGGTTATTATCTAACGAAGTTTGGTCACCATTTCAAGATTAATCACATTTTCTGTGTGACTAGGTTTACAAAGAAATCTTAGAAAATAAACTGAAACGAAATAAATAATAGATACATTTTCAAAACAGACATTTAGGAAAGACAGAGGACTGAGAGAATGTTCTCTTAGAAATTTTATTTGTAACTTTTGGTTGCATTGCTTGAACTTGCAGATCATTCTGTATCTAACAGCAATTCTGACAGCTTGCTTACAAGGATAGGCTAATACATTGCTTTCTGTGAAAGACGTAACAGTAACTAGTTCTTTCCAGCAATTGTGGCTGCCTTTTTTAAATTGTATTTGCTTATTTAAGAATATAAATGTGGGCTTTGACTGAAGAGTTTAGGAGAAGTAACTGAAAGTAATGTGCACCTGTGTCCAAGTGAAGCTGTAAAAAAGTTTAGGCCGTGTTTGAAGAAACAGGATTTTAAACTGGGTTTCAACTGATGCAGGGCAGGGCTGGGCAAGTCAATAACACTGCTTTCATTTGCAAGTGGATCAGCTCCCAGAAAGATATGACATGGAGAATACAGTCAAAATGTCAGCAGCAGCATTGCAGTGCTGAGTCACTACAGAGAGGTCTTCTTCATTAATGACATGCAATCTAATAGGTTTCAAAAAGAAAATGAATACATGTTGACAGCAGAGGGCTTACCCTGGCATCCTGCTTTCGGTGATCCTCTCTCATTCTCCGCTACAGCAGAGGAATGAGTAATGATTTTGAAAGCAATGACTGCAACACTTCCTTTGCACTGCAATCAACTGTATGTCATAATGACCGACTTCTTCAGCAGTAAGCAAACAGAATCCTGGCAAACAGTAGGTGTCCCCTGTTTAACCAGTCCGTTGGAGACAGAGGGGGCTACAACTCTTTAAGAGGCTGCTGTTAACCCCAGTTGTCATCAGAGGGGGGGGTAATGTGTTACACTGTTCTCTAGCTACTATATGTCTCCATTCGGTGGCCTGAGAATTGCTGAAGCTGGTGTATGTGGTTAAGGGCCCAAGTCAAAGAGCTAGGTCTGCCACTAGACAGCAGCACTCGCAGTTGCATTCGCCATCTAAAACATTAATTATTTTCATATTTTGGGGTTAAAAAGAATTGGCATTGATGAGTGCATTTCACACTACGATGAAAGTAAAAATGTACATAGCAACAAAAAAAAATGTGTTTATAGACATAAATAGACAAACTTTCCAGGTATGCGCAGTACGATATTGCTGAACATTGTCTGCAATTCAGAATGAGGCAATATAACTTCCGGTAACGTGTTGCAAGCCTTAATACACTGTAAGAAAGGCCTGTGTATAAATCTCTTTTAATCCAATAGAAATATTGCTCTCGATCTTGAGTCGGTTTTGCTGACAAACACTACTTGTTAACTCTGCATATGGAGATCATGTTGGAATATTTCTGCGGTGAAGTGTCTGCGGCACAGCTTTTCTTATTCACTCATACATCGCATTACAGTACGTTAATCCCTACAGTGAGTAGAAAGGTTTGGTTTTACGCCACCATTTGTATTAACTCTCGCCCTTGATCGTGGCGAGACCAGCAGTTTGCTACAACATGGCGACCATACAGTACGTTCACAAAGTTCACAATTTTGTGCTTGATTTGGAATTTGTCCAATTTTCTGATACCTACAATTAATTTATTTTCTATCTTGTCTGAGACATTGGGACTGCAGTTCCCCTTTAACAGAACAAAAAAAGCTGCTGTAAAAATGATATCTAGCCCATGAGTGCAGAGATGGAGAAAGCGCTACATCTCAATGGATGCTACATATTGGTCTGAAGTTAACTTGCAGACCTCTTGCTGAGGCAAGATGATACGAAACATATAGTCATGTTTAACTGTCATCAGAGCTTCGACAGGTGTCTCTATACATGAAGCATCAGGCCTCACCTTCTAATCACAAAACCCCAAGCACAGTACTTGAAAACCGACTTCCATTAGATACAAGCAGGAAGCCTCTGGTAAACAAACAGCTGTCAAGTAGTATCTACAGTAGATTGCAATTTGAGCCTGGCAGTTAGGTAAATGTTTTGATCTCAATCCAAAGGTTGTACAACCTGCGTTGTTATCAGAAGAGTCTAAGCAAAACAGTCTTCAATAATATACAGTATAAAGCTTATAAGAACATCTAGAGTATCAGAACTACAGGGAGAAACCTTACCTTGGCATCCTTGGCATAATAAAGTGTTCTTCCTCGCAGCTTAAAATACCTCTTCTTCCAGCGCTGGAATGAGCTGGTCTGTTTCAGTAGTATTCCTTCCTTGATACTAGTCTGAAAAAAAAATCCAGTTCTGTAAACCTTTTTCAAGCAATATTTTTGTGTGTATCTTGTAAAAAACTTTGTACAGTAGGTTCACACAATTACAAAAAATCAGGAGATCTCATCAATGTAAAGGGAAATGTACAAAAAGTACAGGAAACTAGCTGGTACTTCACGAACAAAGCACCTTCAAATGATTATCTCTGCTAATCTTCCATACAGGTGCCCATCTCCTTAGAAAAACTGAAAACAAAGGGGCCATTAACAAAATGACATAAGCATAGATACATGAGAAATATATTTTTGATTTAAAAGAGAAACATTGAAAATTTGCATAAATAAAATGACAATAAATTGAAAAATGTAACAAATATTCCTATGTGCCATTCCACTGTTGGTCGTCCCTTTAAATAAACTGTCACTATTTTAACATGTACAGCTTCGTACTGCTTTCCTCTAACAAATGGGAGAGAATATAGTGTGTTCATGTGTTTTGCACTGAAAAAAAGCTGCTTTTCTTTTCTACCTGGAAACAAGTAAAAGTTAATTCCACGCTGTGAGGTAAAAAAAGTAGAAAGAGGAAACATGATGTTTCGGTTGCTGAGCCTTGAGTGTGAATATCTAAAAGGTCAGTGTGACTCCTGAAGATGGCCCAACAGCTGAAACATGGTGTTTCTTAACATTTGAACGGGTATTTGATATTTTCATGTTTTCATGTGCTTTGTGCTTTTTTACAAGTCACACTTGAAGATTTCCACAGATGGTAATTAGACAAAACGTTTGGCTGTCATACACTGTGCTCTTGGACTCGGCTGAAAACCTAAGAACACTACATTCTACTTCAAACACAGACATCCACCAGCCACAAAGTTGCACACACACTAACGCATATACGCATACACATATGTATATTCACACTCAAACACATACACACAATGTTGTGGCTGGCTGTAGGAAACCTGTTATCAGCGCTAATCTAATTTATATCAGCCAGCCACTCCTCTGTGTTTATCTTACAAGAAACACTGCCTAGCTTAAATGTACTCTGACGACAGACTACAATTTTATAGTTTGGAGACAGGAGACAAGGTAAATGACTGAAAAGAAAGGAAGCATATAATAGGACAATCTAAAATTGCCTTGGAATGGCATAAATGGAGGAATATTCTACATCTCCACAGAATGGCCCAGTGCAGAATCTATTTTGCACTGTACTGAAAAATGCTTTTTCGCGGGTTTAAGAGGTTACGCAACCCAGTGAAGCCTGTGTAAGAGGTCTAGTTTCCCCAGACAGACCACTTCAACGGTGCACAGCTGGCAAAAGAAGAAGCAAACAAGCACAATGAAGAAAAGGGATTTCTAACTGAAACAATGCTTCACAGCTACAGGGCCTGGGGTCTGTTGTGTTACTTCTTTTAAGATGTTTGATCTGGCTTGGAACAGGGCAAGATGACCAATCAGAGGAGTTCACCTGGGAAAAAATGCTTTGTCTTTTTGTGTGTTTATGAAAGCCAAATTCAAGAAAGTGTACAGACCATGAAGATTGTACAGGTAGGAACCATGATGTAAATAATGCAAATTAAGAATCCTAATATTAGTATAATGTTGTAGTTGTTCTCCCTTTATAAAATCATTGAGGCTTTACATGGAAATAGGATATCCCAAGTTTAAGTCAATTTTAAGAGCAGCTGTAAGGCAATATATTAAGTTACAAAGCTGTAGTCAGATGGGAAAACCATGCATTAAGAATAGAAAAACACTGGAGTTTCTGTCCACACTTGAAAATGCCATCAAAGCAACTTAGTGCAGCTGCAGAGGAAAAAAAAAAACTTGTTCTTCTCTTATTTTACTTCAAGACAATGAGAAACATTCTGAACCAACCCTCAATGTCCAGGCTACTTATATGAGACAACCTAAAATTTTCTTGAGCAGCACTGCTGTAACCTAGCCTACCCTAAGGCCTGGGACTTCTAAAACACCTCTGACCATCTTCTGACTTTGAATTTGTTTTCCACCTAATTTGCAAATAAAGAAACTACCATTTTTGATGTGGCAAAAAAAAAATCAACGCATTCAGGTTTTGTTCAGACTCATTCCGATAATTTCCCGTGATAGGAGCCCTTACTGAAAAGTCAAACAATCTGAACACTTGCAATAATAAATAAGGAACACAAACTGGAAGTTGCCACAGTTTTTCCCTTCCATTCATCTAAAAATATAGCATGAACATGGAAAAGCTCCTTAAAACAACAGGAATTCAGAGGCATATATTGGGGTTATTTTTAGCATAGGAAATATGCACTCCGAAAGAAGAATTACAAACAGAAACACAAGCTTCGATCAGACTTCCTGGTCTGCAGCTGTATCAACTTAAACAGAAAGAAAATACATTGCTGAGGCCAGATGAGTTAACACACCGCTAAGATATCCTGCAAAAGCCTATTCAAAATGCACTATATTACTCGTGCTTCAACAAAGGAAAAACAGCAAGCTGGGCTTTGTCAGAGGTTCCACAATCAAACGGTTCTTCATTTATCACACTTTTTAATTCTTCATCCGTAAAAGAAAAATAGATTCACTTTGTTAATTTTACATTGCTTGGGTCTGCGGGTTTGACCATAAATTGATAAACGAAACCAGCAGAACCAGAAAGAGAATGGAATATGCAGGGAAATAACTTTTTTTTAATCCATAAAGAAATCTTCAGCATTTTTTAAAACTAATGGTGGTGCAGTGGTTAGCATTGTTGCCAGGAGTCACTGGGGCCCTGGGCTGCTATCTGTGTGAAGTTCGTATATTCTCCCTGTGTTCGCATGGATTTCCTTCCGGGTGCTCCAGTTTCTTCCCACAATTCCCTTCTTCCCTCCTTTCCCACAATTGGCTTCTGGGAAAGCTGGCCCTGGAGTGAGTGTGTTTGTGTCTGTGTGTGCCACGAATGGACTGACGTGTCTCCAGAGTGCATCCTGACTTGCGTCCATTCCTTGCCAGGACAGGATCCGGCTCCCCCACGACCCTAAACTGAATGAAGCAGTTAGAAAACGGATGGATGAAAATAACCGCAAATATCTACTGAGCACATTTATTTGACTGGCATCGGTGCTACATTTAAACAGACGCCTCTACCATAGTTGTCCAGATTGTAAAACCAAATTTGTAATTTCTACTGGAGCTATCATGAAGTCTGAAATTCATATGAAAAAATCCATCTACCTTCTTCTTTAGAAGGGCTTTTACTTAACTGGTTATGTTATTTACCCCTTTGCCCCTAATGTATTCAGTACGCCCATCTACTGTTTCCTCTCATTGTGTATTCTCATTGCGCATATCTTGGGAATTTGTTGTTGTCGTTCTGTAAAGTGCTTTGTTGTCATTCTTTAAAGGCGCTACATAAAATAAAGGTTTATTATCATTATGATTGTCACTATTATTATTACATTCATTTTCTATTCTTTTTATCCAGTACAGGGTTATGGTGGAGCCAAAGTCTATCTTATGGAAGAAAAGGGCACAAGGCAGGATACACCCTGGATGGGACACCAGTCCATGGCAGGGCAGACACACAGACACAAACACATACTGTACACTCACACCAGGAACGATTTTTCCGTAAGCCAATTAATTAGGTCTTTGGTCTGTGAAAAAGAAACCAGAGCACATGGAGAAAACCCCTGCAAACCTTTGATCAGGAGGTGGTAACTACTCACAAATTTAAGTGCACTGTTAAGTTTCACAACATCAGGTTTATTAAAGGGGAAATGCAACGCTATTTTTATATTTCAGAGTAAGAAAGAATCGGCATCGACGAGTGCATTTTACACCACAATAAAACTAAAATGTACACAGTAACTTGTAAAACCTCCAATTTACCTTACAAAATAGATCGAATTTCCAGGTATGTACAGCACCATATTCTGCGATTCAGAACGAGGCAATAAAACATACATTTCTTTTAATCCAGTAGGAATATTGCTCTTGACTTCCAGACGGTTTTGCTGATAGATGGAACTTACTTGTTAACTCTGCATGCCGATCACATTGGAAACTTTCTGTGGTAGAATAGCTGCTATACAAAGTGTTCTTAATTTGCTCCTACACTGCACTATGTTAGTCATTACAGTGACTGGTGAGCAGGAAGGACTAGAGAGCATCATGTCACAATTTGTGGGAACTCTCGCCTGGCGAGACCAGGGGTTTGCGACAAAGTGGTGACTTACAGTATTTCACAAAGTTCACGATTTTGTGCTCAATTCGAAATTTGTCAATTTTTTCTTTACCGTCAATTAATTTATTCTGTTACCGAGATTTAAGAAGCAGTCTGAAAAAATGGGACTGCAGTTCCCCTTTAATTCAGATTTTCCTCCCAAATTCATCTTAAGTTTTCAACTAGACTTGAGGACTGCATGCTTTATAAGTCCACCCTTCGTGGCATTTTACACCATGTGTATCTTGCACCATGTTAACAGGTCTAACTTCCAAGTCAAGTCACACTCTGCATCATGAAATCTCACACGTATGAATATCAAGGTAGATGGAGGGTCACAGGCCTGCCAGTTCATCTACTTTCTTTCAAGCTTCACTGACAATCCTATGGAAATAGGTTGATTCATCATTTTTTAGAGATGCTTAATGGAGGAGGGAAGTGTAGTCCTGCTAAATTTTTTCACAATCATTATCTCTTTTAACCCTTTTATAAACAGCACTTTAGTAGAGTCTGTTTCAGTACAATCATTTTTCTGAGCTTTTCTTCAATCTAAAATTGAGAAAAATTTGGAGTCAGGCTACATCTTGTAATTTCACTCATGAGATTGATTTATGTACTTAAACTTAGTCCATTTCACCTTACAGAGATTCATGCTGTCTCTCCTTAAACGTATCGCTTAAAATCATACATTCTTCGGATCCTATTCCCACTACGTTGCTGTGTTCATATTTTTCAGTTCTGTGTCCCTTTGTAATGTATCTTGAATTGTTTCCTCAGCCCTTAAAAAAAATATTGTCCCTCAGTTAAAAAG